CCAGGTGGTTCGGGTTTGGATGGGGTTTTGCGAAGGCGAGGCAGAGAGGTCGATTCAGGTGAGCGACGCCACGCCCTCGGTTCCATTCGGCGCCCTGCCCAATGGAGAGCTCCTTGTGCCCTTTGTGGAAGCTGTGGCTCTTTTGTGGCAACATCAAGTTGCCGGGGCCTTGTCCACTCCCGCGCAAACGGCCAACGAGGGCCCCGATGCTCAAGCAAGCTTGGCCGCTCGCATGGCACAACTCGAGCGTACGCTGGCTGCACTGGGAGGTCCTGCTGCCGCCGAGCAAAGGGCTTCTGCGGGCCGGCTGAAGGCCGAGCCGGCCCGCCCTTCGGCGACACAGCGCCGTTCTCCACTGGACGAGTCCGAGGACGAAGGCGACACTGCGGCTCCTTTGGCTGCTCTCGAGGAAGCAGCCCCCAACGTAGGAGCAGGACAACCTCAAGAACCAGCCGAGGCCTTTGCTCAGGCGATGGTCAGGTGCCTCGATGCCCTTCAGTCAAGGTCTGGGTTCAAGCAAGCTGACCACGCTGGACCGAGCACTCGATGCCACAGGCGCTGGCTCTCTCGACGGCTCCCTGAACTCGGGAAGGAGGAACGCTGCAGCTCGAAAGGCCCTGCGGGATTCGCTTTTCACGTCCCCACTGGAGATAAGCAATCTCATAGAAACCTTGATGGCAGAGGACCTCAGCGCGAGTACACCCGGCGCTGGGTCGCCCGTCCTTACCTCAACGCGTGGCTGGCTAGAGCACCGAAGCCGGGTGCAAGCTTTTCCCACGATGGTTCACCTCACGTGGGCTATCGCTGGAGTGCATCAGGTCGGGAAAGCCCGAGCAGGCGAGAGCAAGGTTGAACATAGCCCTGCTGCAGGCCGACCAGTGCTCCATAGACCGAGGGAGCTGGCTTTTGGCTCAGGAGCTAAGTCTCGAGTTAGGCCCGCCGATGAGCAGCTTCCGCAAGCACGAAAACTCAAGCTCGTCGGGCGACCCTGCTTACAGCCGGCTGCTGGACCCCAGGTGGGCCGAGCTAGCCCTTTCGAAGTTGCGTGAGGAGGCCGAGTTCACAGACAGGCGGCAGAAGCTAGCTCAGCGCACCTCCGGGCCCAGCAAAGACCAGTCCGACCCGACAGCCGAGACGGAGCGCCCTCCTCGAAGACCCCCGCGCCGTCCGCAG